CGGGGTGGGAGCTGGGGAGCGAGGCGGTGGCTGCCGCCACCCGTTACTCACGCAGTGTGAGTGGGAGCGTCTCGCCGGCCGCTGCACCTCTGCCGTGTGTCCAGGGTTGCTTCGCTTGGTGGCGTGGCCGGAGAGCCTGAGGGCTGGTCTCGGTGCGCGTGCGCACTGTCTGTCCTGTGCAGTGTGCGTGTGCTTGCCTTCCCTTCTGCTCACTCTTCCTGGTCCCCTCCTTTAAGTCCCACTCCGTGCCCTGCTGACAGGCCCCGCGCCCCTTGCTGTGACGGCGGGGGGCGGCAGGATCACCCTTGCCTCGCTGTGGCTCCGCCTACACGCTGACTCTCCTCTTGGTCTTCTAACGCAGTTACTTTTTCTCTTGTGGACATTCTTTAAGCTGACGCCCTCTAAGGCCAGCGCGTCTTCCCAGGTCCGTTCCCGGCTCTGCCTCTTCACACAAGTGCCTTTCTCCCCTCCCCAGGCCCTGTTCCTCTCCCGAGGCGCTGAGCCTGCCCAGTGTGATGTCCCCAGGCCCTGGCCAGGCAGCAGATCCCCAGGGCCCAGGACCCCCGACTATACCGGGCTTTCTCCCCCCAGCTGTCCAGCTCAGCCCCTCTTTCAGCATCTCCTAGGCAGGTTCGGTGTCGCAGGAGCCTGAGGGCTTCTGGTCCAGGGCCTTAGGTGGCGGCCGGAGGAGGGTTACCCGGGCACTGTGCGAGACCACAGAGCTCTGGCCCTGTTTTGGCGGTGTGGCCTCCCGTTCCAGCAGCAGCCTTTACTCCACTGCCCCTGGCCGCCTCCAGCCTCCTGGTCCTGCCCTCGGCAGTCCCCGGGCTGGCTGACCCGGCACATGGGGAGGGCCGGCCTAGAGAGGCAGCTCCAAGAGAGCAGGCGAGGCTGACTTCCGGTCTGACTCAGTCCGCCAAGGCCTGGGGTCGGGCTCCGCCCCAGCAGGCTAATGGGGTGCAGGTGGCTCAGGACCCTCCTGGTGGAGTTAAGCAGTCAGTGATAACAGATGGGAAACGCAGGCTGGAGTCAGGGCATGTTCTGATTGGGAGCTCGGTTTCGTTATTTATGGGCAAATAAACTTTCTGGTCCTGCCTCCGGGGCGACACTAGGCTGCCACAGCCCAGGGGAAAGTGCTAGGGCCAGCGTCAGGAGACCCGAGTCAGTGCTCAGCCAGGGGTGCTGCCGTGGTTACCCCACACGCGCCAGATGTGAGGTCCAGGAGCCTGTGCCACGGAAGAGGCTGCACTGCCCACCCCCAGGACAGTGAGGGGAGCTTTGCCGTGCCAGCCCTCTGCGCCGGAGGAGGATGCATAGAAGGGCCACACGGAGGGGGCGAGTCAGCCGGGACCCCGGGCACTGTGTCCTGTGGGCACCGCCCTGGGCAGAGGGACGGCAGGCAGCCCAGGCCAGCAGCGGGGCTGCGGGTGGGTACGGCCATTGAAACTAACACCTTCGTTTCTCTCCCATGCTTTCTCCTCCGGCCAGGAGCGGAAGGTACATGCCCTTTCTGCTGTCTTCGCTTCCTAGCGCTTTTGGTTGTGTGTGTGTGGAACCTCTGCCCCCAGGAGCTAGGCTTCCTGTGCCAGGTGGGGCTGGACCGGGAGAGTGGGCTCTGCGGGCAGGAGCGGGGCCTCTGGGCCTTACCCCGCCCTCCCTCCCTCTCTTGCAGGTTTTCATAGAGCTGAATCACATTAAAAAGTGCAATACAGTTCGAGGCGTCTTTGTCCTGGAGGAATTTGGTAATTACACTATTTTGCTCTTAGGTCTGGACTCTCATGGCAGTAACTCAAACCTTGGAGCTCCAGAGCAGGGCTAGGGGCAGGGCGAAGAGGTACTGCAGAGAGGACAGGAGGAGCAGGAGAGGCAGGGAGCTCGGGAGAGGAGAGGCGGGCAGGAGAGGACCAGACAGCGCACAGCACAGGAGGGCGCGGTCGCGGGGCAGGGCCCGCCGTGTCCACGTCGCCCAGCCCCGACATGGCTCTGTCCCTGCTGGCCTGTGCCAGAGGGGTGCGTGGGTGTCCGCGCTGGCAGACTGAGGGCCAGAGATCCGGGGCCTCAGACGGAAGGGGCTGAGCCAGGCTCCCCGGCCTTGCGGCGGCACTCAGGAGGGGTCCTCGGCCGGGCTTGGGGTGGCTGCTGTGTTTGTGCTTCATTCTCTTGCGCCCTCGTCACTGCTATGAAAACCTTCGTTCTCCAGCAGGTAAAGCGACTCCGGCTCGTGCTCCCTCCCCAGGCCCTGCCGGGTGGGGTCCTGCCAGCCCCGCTCACACTGTCACTCCGTCCGTCTCCTCCTCTCTGTCCCTTCCCGCCCCGCTGGCTCCCTAGTTCCGGGCTCTGTCCCCATTGTGCGCCCTCTGGTGCTGCGGAGGACACTGGGGCTCTTCCAGCTCAGGACAGAGGGCCAGGCTTGCTCTACCTTGGAGGAGTTCACTGCCCGCTAACCCGAGTCCCCAAATTCTCCCTCCCAGGGTCAGAAGAAGGTGTGGCCAGCTCTCATCCTCCCTCTTCTGTCCCCTCTCCCTGTCTTACGAGGCCACACCATGGCCGGCCTGGGGGCCCCACTCCTTCGTCTGGCCACGCAGAGCCCCTGCATGGTGGGCCGGGGTGGCCCCTTGGCTTGCACCCCGGGCTGTGGACGTGTGTACCTGCTGGCGCCCCCCGCCCTGGTGCTGTCCTCCTGTGTCCTGCTTGGTGTGTCTGCTCCGGAGCCCTCTGACGCTCTCCCTCACACAGCCAGGCGCGGGCTGCTCCTGCCGCTCGCTCGCTCGCTCGGGGAAGGACACGGCCGTGGCCGATGGGTTTAGTGTCCCGTGGCTCCCCGCCCAGGGCTGGGAGGAAGAGGAACCGTGGGCTATGATGGCCGAGTTCTCCCGGCTCAGTGGGGCGGGCACAGGCTAGCGGCCACTGTCTTGCCCGCCACTGCTCCCCAGGTCCTGGATGGTGGCGGTGCCCAGGCTGCGGAAAGGACTCCGCCTGACAGAAGCCTCCGGTGGGCTCTGTCCTGTCGCGGCCTGAGTGGCTGTAGGCACTGGCAAGGCTGCAGAGGGGACGGGGCCCGTGCCGGGCGCTGCCACCTGGGGAAGCATGGCACTGCTGCTCTTAGTTTTGAACTTTCTGTTTTGTCTCTTGCCCGTCCGGTTTTAGTTCCTGAAATTAAAGAAGTGGTGAGCCACAAGTACAAGACACCAATGGTGAGTGTGTCGGGGCGCCCAGGGAGCTACGCACAGGCAGAGGGGGGCCCTTGCCCTTGTGGGGACCTGGCCCAGAGCGGAGGTGGAACTGAAGCTGCAGCGCGCCCACCCTGCACCCTGCGGCCGAGGCCTGGCCTGGCTCCCTCACCC